GGCGCCGTCGCTGTCCGTCCCTCCGCAGGCTCCGAGACGGGCGGAGGTGTTGGTCCGTGTGTCTGTCGGTACGGCAGCGCGCGAGGCTTTAACGTCAACGAATAACGCGTTTCGGTTGTACCCTGCTGTGTCATAAATACAGATGGGCTTATGCCGTAAGGCTAGAAAGATGAAAACCAAATCAAGGGAAACGAGGTGATGGCTTACGCCCGCTCCCCTCCTCTGCTGTACTTAGCAACTCCCAGCAAAGATGTCGGAGTATATCCGGGTGACGGAGGATGAGAACGATGAGCCCATCGAGATAACGCGTTTCGGTTGTACCCTGCTGTGTCATAAATACAGATGGGCTTATGCCGTAAGGCTAGAAAGATGAAAACCAAATCAAGGGAAACGAGGTGATGGCTTACGCCCGCTCCCCTCCTCTGCTGTACTTAGCAACTCCCAGCAAAGATGTCGGAGTATATCCGGGTGACGGAGGATGAGAACGATGAGCCCATCGAGATCCCCTCGGAGGACGACGGCACCGTCCTGCTGTCCACTGTCACCGCCCAGTTCCCCGGGGCCTGCGGGCTGCGCTACAGGAACCCGGTGTCGCAGTGCATGAGGGGCGTCCGGCTGGTGGAAGGCATTCTGCACGCGCCGGAAGCTGGATGGGGAAACCTGGTCTATGTTGTTAATTACCCCAAAGGTTTGTCTTCGTTCCTTTGGCTTTTTTGTGCAAGCTTGCTTTTTCAGTCAAGAGGTCCATGTCGGTCACTGCTAATTTAATATGGCTACAGTATTACCGTCGAGCCCTCTGATTTAGAGAAGTTCAGCGATTTTATTCGTCCATCTGTCCTGCAGAGTACATCTGACCCCACTGAGTTTTCAGATGTGGAGGAAGATTTTTAGCTCTCTGCCCATACAAGCACTTTAACGAGAAAGTCTTGCATGATCCTTGGAGGGTTTGCAGCCTTTTGTAGACATTCGAAGACCGTGGTGTACTGGGATCTCTGTGTACTCACAGGTGCTTCTCAAGTCATGGCTTGGTCAGAGGTACCATTTAAAACACATGCTCAAGAAAAGAGGAGCCTGACCACCCCCCCACACCCCAAAAAAAGGAAGTAAATTGCTAATAAATTATTCTCATTAAAAATCCCTCCCTTCACATGCTTTAGGACTGTGAATGTTACTGGATAATACTTCAGTAAACTAACACAAAGCTAACTCTGTCAGATTGCATTTTGGAGGAGGACTTAAGTGTAGACTGTTCTTTCATCTCTCCTTATACTCGTAGAGAGTTGGATATGGATTACGGTAATAAGCGCCCAGCAGCTGCCTTGTGTTCTTTTGTAGTCTGTACTTTTTTTCATCATAGTCTGTGATTTTATACCATGCAATTTGTAATCAGTGGAAGCAATTTCTAGAGTTCAGGATGATGTCTCATATACTTCTTTATATCCAGATAATAAGAGAAAAATGGATGAAACAGATGCATCATCAGCTGTGAAAGTGAAACGAGCAGTACAGAAGACTTCAGATTTAATAGTTTTGGGTCTTCCCTGGAAAACCACTGAACAAGACTTAAAGGAATATTTCAGTACATTTGGAGAAGTTCTGATGGTGCAGGTAAAATCCTTTTGCAGCCCAAGGACATGAGGTAGAAATCTGTCTTTCACGAAGCCAGTAGAAACAAACAGAGCCGTATAAACTTGGAGATCTGCAGCTGTGTCTGCTCCTAGGCTGCATTTTGTCCCATGAGCTTTGTACAGATGGTCAGGGGTATTTGGAAGTGGTAATTCATGCAGACCAGGTTAATGGGTACAGCGTTTTTAAGAGCTTTTAAATTTATATTACTTATTGTTGCAGCTGAATATGTGTTGTTCATATATATATGTGTGTGTGTGTGTGAAGAGATTGCTGTGATGGGAGCATTTTCAAGACTGGTAAAACTCTCAAACAGAACTTTACTGAATTCAGTAGCAGCACGCTTCATAGTAGCGATTACTTCTGTACCACCACTGCCTACACCAGACTGTGCCGCGCGTATCCTGCACCAGCGCGGGTGGTACTGCGCACGGGTGCCGCTTGGTTAGCAGGGGTGCCTGGGAGCTCGGTGGCCTCACTGCTTCAGTTCCCTTCTGTCTTCGTGCGTGGTGGTTTTATCCTCCCAGAATTGGGATCTCGCCTGATCCTGATACATGTGGCTTGTTCTTTACCTTTTGTTACTTGCGTGCCTCCTGTGCGCAGCTGCGTGGGTTTGCCCCTTTGGTGGTCACATTGTTTACGCAGCTGGTCTGGCTATGTCATCACAGTATTACAAAATAAATCCCATTTTTGGTTATGCTTGGGCTCAAGGCAAGCTAATAATTTTAATTTGTAGGTGTCACAGGCCCCTGCTTTGACTATATAACATTATGGTAATTTTTGTAAGAAAAGGTAGGCATATACAATGAGGCAAGATCGCCAGAGAAAGTATACAGAAAGTTCTGGTTATTGTCGAGGTTGATACGCGAGATAGCTGGCAAATAGCACGTCAGGAAGTCACAAATACAGGCGTGCATTGTTTCTGTAGTCTTTTTAAAAGTCTGCTTTTTCTGTCTTAGGTTAAGAAGGATATTAAAACTGGCCACTCAAAAGGTTTTGGTTTTGTTCGGTTTACGGATTATGAAACCCAGGTGAAAGTAATGTCTCAGCGGCACATGATAGATGGAAGATGGTGTGACTGTAAGCTTCCCAATTCTAAGGTACTTTCATATTTATTGCTAGTTTTATTTTTACCAAACACTTGAAGTGCACTATTTTAGCAGCTGTGTTAGGTGAGCAGATTAATAATGCACTCTTGGATGTGACTTTTTGGTCTGTGAATGACACTACAAGTGAGAGCAAGGAAGGGAAACAGGGAGGAGGTCGGCGAGCAGGCAGTGAACAAGAAGCATTGGGAAAATAGTGAGTTATGTGGGGGAACTAAGCACAGGTGGAAATCTGAAAATAATGTGTTTTACCGTCCAGCAGTACCAGCTGAACTTGTCTGCTGCCTGAATAAATGGAGAATAAAGCAGGCAGAATAACTAACCTACGGAAGATCAGACTGAGTCTTTGAATTCAAAACTGAACCTGAAGCTTCGGTTTCCTGTGTGTATATGTACAGTTATTACCAAAAAAAAAAAAAAAAACCCCCAAAAACGCCCTTCTGCAGTCCCTTGTCCCTGTGTGTATTGTTCCCATCTTTGTTTCCTTGTGACTCTTCTCCATCTTTACCAAGGTGCAGGCATGTTCGCTGAACAGAACTTTTTTAAGTCTTTAACTTACAGTCTCAGACTTTCTTCGTCTTCGGTCCTCGGAACAGGCTAGATTAAAAGGGGCCTTTATTGTAATGTAACTCGGTTCTCAAGGACAGTTGTGATTTTTTTTCTTTTTCTTCTCTCTTCAATTCCCTCCAGCAAAGTCCTGATGAACCTTTGCGTAGCAGAAAAGTGTTTGTTGGGCGCTGCACGGAGGACATGACGGCAGATGAACTCAGACAGTTCTTTGCCCAGTACGGAGAAGTGGTAGATGTCTTCATTCCTAAACCCTTCCGAGCCTTTGCTTTTGTTACATTTGCAGATGATCAGGTACGTCTTGAAATATTTTAACTTCCTGTTTAGACAGCCTATATTTCGGTAGCTCGATAAAGCATTATTTCTGAACTACACACGGAACACTTACTTACCCAGTCTTGAGAATTCCAGTGGTATTAGCTTGATTTGATTTGTTGAATTGTCCAAGGATACACTTCTCAGATGCTGTTGTACAGTTGGGTTTCGATACTGCAGTTAGTGTAGTAGTCAAATTGGATTAAGTATATGCATATGCTTCTTTTGCAGGTTAAGTATCTGCTCAGAATCATGTGGGGGTTTTTTGTCTTGTACTACTAACACTTAGTTAGAAGTCATCTAACATACATTTAATCAATCCCTTATTTCTTATAGGTTGCCCAATCTCTTTGTGGAGAGGACTTGATCATTAAAGGAATCAGCGTACATATATCCAATGCTGAACCTAAGCACAATAGCAATAGACAGTTAGAGAGAGGTGGAAGATTTGGTGGTAATCCGGGAGGCTTTGGGAATCAAGGGGGGTTTGGCAACAGCAGAGGAGGTGGGGGAGGACTGGGTAACAACCAGGGCAGTAACATGGGTGGGGGTATGAACTTCGGAGCCTTTAGCATCAACCCTGCCATGATGGCAGCGGCGCAGGCAGCCCTGCAGAGCAGCTGGGGGATGATGGGCATGCTGGCTAGTCAGCAGAACCAGTCGGGGCCGTCGGGGAACAACCAGCCTCAAGGCAACATGCAGCGGGAGCAGAACCAGGGCTTTAGTTCAGGAAATAACTCCTACGGTGGTTCCAACTCGGGGGCAGCGATAGGCTGGGGTTCAGCCTCAAACGCGGGCTCCAGCAGCGGGTTTAACGGAGGCTTTGGTTCAAGCATGGATTCCAAATCATCAGGCTGGGGAATGTAGACGCAGTGGGCTCTGATACTGACTCTGTGGTGGGAAATCAAATTTTTCTAACTCGTGGTAAGTATACTGTAAATTACATATATACTAAAATTTTCCAAATCAGTTTGTTCAGTGTGCAGTATATTCAGCAGTATTTTTGACATTTTTCTTTTTTAAAAAAAAAAGAAAAGAAAAAAAAGAAAAAGAAAAGAAAGGTAAAAGGAGTTTTGTAAGTTTTGTTACATATCTTGTTGGAATACGAATGTCTGGAAGTGGACTGCTGTTTGCCCGATAGGTGAACTAACACTACAATCGATAGGAAAGGTTTCTTCTGTAATACTTTTTCCCTTGTTTCCTGGCTACCTGAATTCTTTGCATGTTCAAAATGGAAAACACTGGTCAGAAACAGCATTCTCTCCCTCTTGTTTTTAATTTGATCCCACCATAAGACTCTCCAAGTGCCCCAGTTGGAGAACACGGTGTCGTTTTTGTTTCGTGTTTGTTTTTTTTTTTTTTTTAACGCTGTCTCCCCTCCATACTAAAGTACGATACGAAGGCTTCATTTAATCTCCGCAGTTCATCTCATTTCAAATGTGTATGGAAGAAGCACTTCATTGAAAGCAGTGCTGTAAATATTCTGCCTTAGGAATACTTCTGTCTACATGCTTTCTCATCCAAGAATACTTCATCACACCGCACATGCTGCGTCTTAGACGGTGGGTGTTCCATTTTTATCCGCTACTCTTTATTTCATGGAGTCGTATCAACGCTATGAACGCAAGGCTGTGAGATGGAACCAGAAGGCTGTTTGAACTTTTGAAACCTTGTGTGGGATTGATGGTGGTGCCGAGGCATGAGAGGGCTGGTATGTGCGAGATAAAGGAGAGAGCGCATGCAGAGACCTGGTGGTGCATTATGGGGTTTTATTTTACTTGGCGAGATGTCTCTCAATCCTGTGGCTTTGGTGAGAGAGTGTGCGGAGAGCAATGATAGCAAATCCAAGTACGAGTGTTTATTGCGTTCAAAGGACACCCATATGTGGAAGACTTTAAGTGGGTTTTATACCTAGTTAATCAATTAGTTGAATGTGTTACGTGAAATGAATATTTGTATTTTTTTTCCCTTATGTCAACTGCTGTGAATGCTGTATGGTGTGTGGTTTTTTTTTTCTGTTAATGATCTGTAAGTGTGGTAATGTGAATTGAAGATGATGGGGTTTGTGATGAGAACATTGAGCTTGTGGTGTGCTTTGCAGTAGCTCTTGTAGCAGAGATCACTAGCGAGCTCAGTGTGCCTCTCCAGGGTGGAAGCTCCACTGTCTGTAAGATATCCATAAGAATGCTGTTTGCTGCGGTTTTGTGTTTGGATGCTTTTTATAAGATTTGTCACTGTAGGAAATTCTTAAATAAAACTGATTTAAGTAATATGTGTCTTTGTTTTGCAGCCCTGAATGCAAAGAATTCATAGCAGTTAATTAATTTTTACCCTTTTGAGATGAACTTCTGTAAAGCTTTTTTGCAGTAATTCGGTTTGTTTCAGACAAGCATGCTCTAAAAGGTGACAAGGCAAACGGAGCCACCGCTCATCACCTATCGATACCTGACACCCAACTTTAATCCACTGCACTTTTGCACTGTTCAGTGATACGTATAGATCTAAAATCCAGTTCCCACACGTTTGGGTGTCCGCACCTAGAATGGTAAGCAGTTCCCTCCAGATTGCATCTGTACCAAGGAACGTTACATATTCTTTTAGGACTTGAGTTCCTCATCAGAAGTGGGTTGGGGGATACAAACACTGTCAAGGCAAGTTTCTGTCCACAGCATCTCCTTTGGGGATGGATGGTTTTTAACTTGTTTTTAGACCAGTCCACCCCTGGAAAGTAGGGTCCTGCAACACTTTCAGGCCAGAGTAGGCCCAGGAAAGGCTCTCCAGCTGAACAAAGCACGATTAACGTACATGGACTTTGACAGAAGTCTTGACCTGAGAAACAGTTTATTACCAGTGCAGAAGTGTCAACTAAGAGGCAGCTTCTTAACAAAGAGCAGAATCTTTCAGCAGAAACCGGTGGAAGATTATTTCCACTGGCAGTAGGAGTTAAGGAATTGTTCGATCTATTTGTGCTTGAAACCCACTGAAGGATGATGCGTATTTTTTATACGCCGTGCTACCGTGCTGTAGCTATGACCGTTCTCAATTACGGGTATTTCCACAGTTTTTAACCCATTTAACCTTTCAAGTTACATCTTCACTACTGCGTATTGTACTGAGGCTTGGGGATAGCAGACCATCTAAATATTGGACAAAACTGCACTGCTGTTAGTTTTCCACTTGCAGTATTAAAAAACCAGCTGGGTCTCAGCGTACAACTGAAAGGGTTTAAAGAGGGGTTCAAAACACTCAGGTGAAAAGTAATCCCACACTTCTGTTCATAGCCCACTGCAAAAAGTTGCTTAGATTTTATTTCTTTTTTTTCTGCACCTAAGTCAGAATAATCTCCAAACTCTGTACCATCTGTGAATTTTGCATTTTAGCACTTGCACTATTACCAGCTACTTCTGCTGAGTAACACTTAAAAATGGTATTCTTGGACCTCCAAACTGTGACCCCCCTCTGCAAGGAGCTTCATGGTAAGTTTTTGTAATTAGCATGGCTTTAATTTTGTTTCAATTGTCCAGGTTTAGGTTTTGCCAGGCTGGTTGGCAGCACTGAGTAGTCTTTGCTAATAATTTTAGCCTTCCTTCACCCTCAGACAAAATCCCTGAAAATTTTAGAATAACTTTCAAGTTTTAATAGTAAATCTCTGAAAATTTTAGCATAATTTTCAACTTTTAATAGTATTTTCTAACTGCTTTGCATACTCTAGTGTTTATAAGTGAGTAAATAAACTACTATTAAAATCATACTGAAGTGTTTGGAGTCTTGTTTGTTGTTTTAAGAGATTTCATTTTCAGTTTTATTCTAGAAAGTGAAATACTAATAATAGAATGTGAGATGTAAGAAAGAGGAAGTTGATGAAAGGGGCTATAGAGTGCAGTCAAACAGGGCTTTTAACATCGCTTCTAATTCGTTCTGAGAATCTGTTGTCAGCTGAATGTGTACTGAAGTTACAACCCCGAATGGGAACGTTTACTCTTTATAAAACTGTTCAGAAAAACACAGGTTTTGCAGCTGACGGCAGGACCTTCTTCAAGGCACGGGCTGCGCCGCTGCCCCTAGGCTGGGTACAGCAGGTACCTACAGGGTACAGCGCTGTACCTAAGTGCCCCAACTGCAGCGGGCAGCTGGTACTGCCGGGATTCTGCAACTGCCAGGGTAGTGAGGGAGTGGGGTAAGGTACCTGGGGGCTCTGCGCGCTGTCACAGGACGGGTGCTCATTCAAAAGCTTCTGGCTCACAAGAATCCACAGCGCTGCTTAAAAAGAAAACAAAATATACTTCATTATGGACAGACTAACGCCTCTGCAGGCAGAGAGCAACTTTGTAAAAACTAAAGGTCTTAACAGCTGGGACAGAAACCAGTAATTAATACTGGGCTTGGACACTTTTTAACAGAACTGTTAAGCCTAATAAACATTAGGGATTTAGAGTTGTTTTTTAAGCATTTAAATACTGCAGCTCTTAATGTAATCTAAGTCAGAGCCAGTGGGAATTACAAATAAAAGTCTTTTACGAATTACTTTAAGTAACACTTTCAAGCCAAGGGATGGTGACTCCCTGCAAGATCACGGCCTAAAGCCCAGGATGCGATACCAGTTGCTGGCCTGCGCACCCAAGAGCGGCTGTGGGCTTCCACTGCCCCCGCCTCGGCTCCAGCACACAGCAGGTTTTCTGCGACCAGAAGGATTTTTCTGTGGGAAGCTTTACTGGCACGCACCTGTACGTTCTTTCTGGCTGCTAACTACGCCTCGGTGTGCAGCAGCAGGACAGAAGCGCTCCTCGTCTTGGTTCTACCCCATCATTTGCTCTCATTTGAAATCTCCCTCTTCCTGGTGCACAAATGGGTGTGAGACTGGTACTAACAGGCGTTATGCTCCAGCCTAACCAAGGCAGTATTATTGTCAAAGCTGACAAGATCATTTCTATAACCTTAATGAATAAAAAAAATTTTCTGCCTGGGCTTATTCATAGCAAAATGAGGGTTTGTTCAAAATCCCCAATTTAATGCACAAAGCCGAGGGGTTTCTTTGATCAGCTGCACCACCAGCAGCTGTCAGAGCCCAGTTGCCCCACAAAAGCGAGCCACCTCCTAATCCTGTTGGCGCTGTGATGAACCTTGCGTGCCGGGGAAAGGCTCCAGGCTGGGCTCTCCTCCCGCCATGTGCATGCTCCACAGTTCCACTTCTTCCCCGTTCCACAAACTGCAAAACAACAAATGCAGCAATAAATGTTAACATTTGAAGATTTGGACAGTGAATTATTATGCTTGTATGGATTAAATTAAGTTTATGATTCTAAACGTAATTCCTAGATTGTTTTGGAATGGTAAAATTGGTTGCAAATGACTATTTGATTTAGAGCACCATTTTCATTAGGCAGTATTACACACATCCTTTGGAGAAGTTCTGTAATCAAGAGAGACCATTGTGCTTAGGAATTTGGGCATAGAGATGTAAGCGTATTTGTTCTGAATGTAAATTAAGGTAATTGGAATATGTGGATAGTCTAATCTAAAAGATAAGAACAATTATGCTCTACACTGTAGAATGTTTCCCCTAAAACTCAGTCTTGGATCTTGAGTCATTTTACAAAGTAACTAATTTAGCAGTTCAAGCATTAAAAAATAAAATAAAATACAATAAACCCACTCCTGTACTCTGCAGTAGGGGCGCTCAGTGGCTTTTCCCCTCACAAATACTTCTGGAGCGTGGTTCAATTTTCCTGTCAGAAACAACGCCAAGCAATTTAAAAACAACAACAATTTAGTGATTTATGAAACTGCGTTCATCCAAAAGAGAGCTGGAGTAAACCAAAGGTTCAGCTTTTTACTCTCTTCAAGCGGAACTGAACCGCGTTTCTGGCATCAATCTGCCATGCTAGCAGCAACGGGGAGCCTCAGGCAAGACCAAGGCATGTTAAAATAGTAACACAATTGAACAGGTAAGTATAAGGTCAGTATTACTAAATGACTACAGGGAGTGCCAGTCACACTGTGGTTTCCGTAACATTTTGAGATTTGTTATTGTTCCCCCTTCTTAAACAGCAACTGCCATTTTGAAAATCAGAGGAACGTAGAGGTGGTAATCTGAGTTTTAAAATGAAAATTCTACAGTGAGGTGGTTCTGCCTCATCAACTTCAAGGTACTAAAAGCAAATCTAAGCACACCATGCTATTATACCTGCTACTTAACTCTTTACAGAAACAACGAATGATGGCTCAGCCGAGTAACTCGTTAAGAGCCCAGCACCTGTAGTCACTGTGGGCTGGCATTTAGGAACAAGCGTCACAGAACGGAGCTTAGCCCCTTCCTCATGGCTGGCATTTAGGAACAAGCGTCACAGAATGGAGCTTAGCCCTTTCCCCACAGGACAGGTTCTCCAGTTCCGACTCGGGTACACAGGAGCGAGTGCATCACCTCACAGCCAGCTCTGTCCTCCAGTTGCACCTGCGTGCAACCTGCCCCGCTGTCTCTGCGACAGGGCCTGGCCACAACCAGCAACAGGCAGTACTGGCTGAGAGCTCGTTCATGATTTTGCAGCAACTGCTAATTCCAGCTATTTTGCACATTCGTGCAGTACCTGGCTCACAGACGGGAGGGGTTATTTCTCCTTTGGAGCTTTTCCAGTATCCACCATCACTGCTGTGTATTCACCTGCATCTCACAGGGGCAACAAAAATAAGAACAAGTGAATAGAACAGCTAGGCATCATCCTAAAGCAACACAGAAGTGATGCCAGGCACTGTCAGACATCGTATCCTAGGTCTCCTTTGAGTTTACAGCAGACAAGTCTTGAGAAGGTGACTCTGCATCTCTTGCCCCCCTCCCGTTATCTGCAGCATCTAATACTGTTAAACGCCACTAACTGGGGAATGGTAAGAATGAGTTAAGCTCCCAGCTGTTACTGAATTAAGCCTACCTGGGGTACCTTTCAGTCTGCTTAGGTACACCTTAAAAATGCAAATAAGACTTCCCAAAGGTAACAGCCTTTGTACTGTGTTTCAGAGAGGCTCTGCTGACCTGTACGGGCATGCCTGTGTAAGCCAGGGGTACCACTCTGCACTCTGCACACTGTCAGAACCAGAACCACTCTTAAAGCTGCTGTTTAGGACCTACTGTTATTATCAGCCTTCATGGTGCAGAAGGTGGTACTGAATTCCGGCACTATAGGTGGTCTTCTCAGGCCTGTAACATATGTAAAAGCACCACTGCCTATGTCCGCAAGTTGACCACAGTCAATAACTAAAGCAGTTCAAAAATATATTAAGAAAAAACAAATAAAAGCTAGTGTGCTGAGAAAGTCAACCTAATCCAGCAGGATTCAACTGTGATCTTCAGGGAATGGTACGAGGGCTCTTTACTGGAGATAACAGAAATACTGATGATGGTTTGTGCTCACAACTGGGCAGGCAGACACCAGTAACACCACAGGGAGTACTGGGAGCTGGAAAGGGTTTAGGGGATTCTGTGGTTTCCTTAGAAAATTTGCACTCCCATCCATTAGATTAAGCTGTGACTGTGCGAGACTCGCACTGCACACCATGTACGCAGGAAACCAACACATATATTAATGAATACAGACTAATTAAAGATAAATTGTACCAGCATCTAAGAGTACAGGTACTCCATGTTTCTCCTATGATGATGATGCTTTTGCTCAGTACATAAAACTCTTGGGAGATTGTACTCTATTTCAAAGGACACTACCACACTTTTTTTTTTTTTTTTTTTTTTTTAAAAATAACCATCAGTGTTTTTTAGAGATTTTAAAGAATGGCAGAAATTGAAACATCTTCCAACTTACAAATACAAAATGCACTTTGACAAGAAATGGAATAGTCACCAAGCAGAAGAGACTGTTTCTCATACTGCAACTGCTCTCATTGTCTCTACAAACCCAATGTTTAAACATAAATATTTTCACAGGAATTTTCAAATTCGCAAATATTAGTACTGACTTACTGATGCGCTTTGCCACTGGGCTGTTCCAAGAAGCATCCTTTTGACATTCCACTACAAGAGACTTCACAATGTTTTAATTCTCCAAGAAGCAGGAATAAAAATAAAAGGTCAAATTAATTCCACATCAAACAGGCTTAATGACAGAAAACCACCATTTATTTGCCCATTCACAAAGGAAAAACAATAACTAGATTTTTATTCACTTAAAATGTCTTTACTAAACGTACTGCTTTGCCGTACTACCTTCAGAGCAGGAAAAGGTGAATAATTCTTATTCCATCATCCTATGAACCTAACTGTTGCTGCTACTAAAGGCCACGGTGGATGGCTGTGAATGTGAGGGAGGGTCACCCGTTCTGGCATTCGGAGGCCAATCTGCATTTGTTGGGTAGCAGTCCCACCACTTCCACCTGCCTTGTCTCCAGCAAGGACGCCACACAGTGCTGGTCAGCGCGTTCCAAGGACAACGTGGAATACAGCCTTTCTTTGCCTACTGCCCTACGCACCCAGCTTTCCTACTATTTGCAGTTCAACACTAACCCTCACATCAGTTCCGTTATTCTGGCCTTCTACATAAACAGCAAACAGTAAGTATGTGCAACTATCAAACCAGAGAGACTATAAAATAACCACTGAGGTAAGCCTGTGCCTTCCTAAAACACAATCACCTAACTGTGATTGCACAATTTTGCTGTAAGCATACACGGACTAGAGTATCTTCCAAAACTGCCTGCTGGGAAGAAGCAGGATGTTATTAAGAACTAAGTCTGAAATGCGGCATTCAGCGGGAATGACCAAGTATTCCAGTTTTAACTTCCCTGGAGAGATGTAGTAACAAATGAAAGAACATTAAAAATTCTCACTACACTGATCTTGTGAAATCTTTCGTAAAATCATTCTTTGCTTCCAACATAATTACAAGCAAATCTCTAAGCAGCAGTGCTCAAAGAGCGTCAACATGGGCATTCATACACACAGGCATACAAAGAAACGGAATTCTTTGGGGAGGGTACCAAAGGCAGGACAATTGCTAACAAATTCAGTGTACTGAATACACCTCATGATGTGAGCAACAGAAACTGTTAATGAGGAAAGGCACCTCCGTGTTTAATCCCTGAGAGCCATAGTTTACCTACTTCAAGTAGCACGTATCCGATGTCGCAAGCAAGAGCACAGGGGTCACCAGAATGTACTGCGCCTGCACTGGTGCGATGTGACCATGGGGTGGTGCTTCAGGACTGGGACACAGCAAACCTGCAGAAGATCAGAAAACCCAACATTCCCCTTAAGACCGAATTCCTTACTTACTGCTCCAGGCTCTTAGGGGAAAACCCACCCTTTCTCTCCCCTTTCTCTACGCTGTTTCACTCACATGGACACAGATCTACAATTAATGCGAATATAAGGAAAAACTGAGGAAAAACTGACTGACTGACTGTGATGCTCTCACACCAAGGGTGTGCAGCGACCCGCACAGAGCCAGGCTGCACTGACAGGACTCACCCAGCATGTCTGCTGCCTAAACACGCACTTCGTAACTTTTGACAGGTTGGGAAAATTGTCCCTAAAACAAAATCATATGCCTGGACCCGCGTTGAACTCAGATCAGCTGGAACTCTGGAGTTCTCCTAAAACTTTATTTCCTAAGTAAACTACTTAGTAGCTACACTGTTTACCCAGTACGCTACACTGTTTCAAAGCACCACTACTGGGTTGCTATTCAGGTCTTTCCAGAATGAAGTTCTGGGAATAGTTTGGACTCAAGAACTAGACAGAGGTCTCCTACCCACTTGCTGCTGCGTACTTCATGTTCCACCCAGTGTGTGCTCCTGAGACATCAGTTATGAAAGTAATATTCACCACATTAGCCCATGCCTCAATTTTTGCAGGCAAAGTTTTTCCACAGAATGGGCCAAGTTGCTTTTTGGGTGTTTTGACCTGAAAAGAATGAGAGAAGGCAAACCAATGGTGTTTACTCCTTCCCCCACGAGGCCTGTGGAAGAACAAACTGATTTTAATACAATGACTCCCTGAACTTGAATGGTCCTTTCTTGCAAAGTTCAAAAAAACAGGCAGGTGGTCAGAGTGATGGCTCGTCACTCTGATAACTCACAGAGCATCCTAAGTGCTATGGAATTCCTGGGAAGCACCCCTGGGTCCATTTTATAGGTAAGCAAACTGAATGCAAAAGATACAACTGACTCCCCTGGCATCACTGATCTGTGATAAGGGCAGAGGCTGTGATGAAATCTATCACGTCATCACACATATGTGTGCTTGGTTTTGGTGAATTTCCCAAAAGAGGAAGGTATTGAAAGAAAAAAAGACAGCAAAACTGAAGGGACAAGAAGAAATGAATGAGGAGAGATACAGGGAGATCAAACTAAAATGGCGAGATACAGGCTGAAGCAGGTGCAGTAAAAGAACTGGGCCTGTCTCACAAAAGCTGTGATGAAATGCAATAAACCTCACCTTACCTTAAGGACATCGCAGGGGCACAACACTCCTGCGTGTGTGTCCACATCGAAGTCTCCATGAATTCCAGTGTCATCAGGAAGCCATCTTCTACCTGGATACTGTAGCTGCAGGAGCTGAGTGGGGGATAAGGTGTTGGATCATCAGGGCTGGTGATTTCTCCCATTCTTTCAGTAAAAACCTGACTCTGACAGTGGGCTAGGAAAAAAAGCCAACACAAAATGATGACCCTAGTCAGTTCAACGGTACTGGGTAAAGGTAGTGATCTTTTCCTACACTAGTCTATCCCTTCGAGAAAGTTTCAGAGCCAGTTATCTAACCACCTATGAAATGAAGCTAGTCTCACACATTTCACCAGCAGGCATTTGTCACTGTTGAGAAAATTGCCCTCTCGCTCTCTGTTGTGGTAGGACCAGGGCACGAGCATTATCCAGCACTCCTACCCCAGAAGCGGTGCAGGGAAGGACACTGGGAAAGCACCACTTCCACAGTGGCAGGGCTGGAGGTCAGAAATAAGTGTGATAGCTGGAAGCTCGTGAGAAACATTCCGAGGTGTTAAATTCGCAGCTTGTCTGTTGCACCTGAGTGCGTAGAGTGGTAGGATAGCTATCAGCTCCTCAATTCCAGAAGCCTCTGAATGCAGTTCTTTCTTTTTAATGCCTTTGTTGCCAGACATTTAGAATGTAATTGTATTCTCTGAGCAAAACCAGCTGTGCCTGCTGCCGACACAATTGGAACCACAAATGCTCCCTGCTGAAGAGAAGCAAGAAGGAACAGCCACAAGTGCCCCGAGGATCTCTGCTTGTTGACAGCATCTGATCACTGTGAAATGGTGCTTTGATCAGCTGGGAACAAAGGCTTTATGATGTGCTGCAAAAGCTGTATGAGCAATCCTTTAATTGATGAGGAATGCTGGACTGGCTGATAACACCGGCATATTTTTGCACCACTGTGACACTGAATTAATTGTAAGAGGGAAATTGTTTGACTTTGAATTGTATCCTCAAAGACACTACGCTAACCTCCACCAACTAAATGTCATTATCCAGTCATTAATTACAGATTATCAACTAAAACAGACCATACAGTTTAAGGTTGTCATTTTAATGCAAGGGGACCAGGTTGTGAATGAGAAAATTAACATTATTGTCCCTTAACTGACCATGGATTTTGTTAGCCAAGATTCTAAGCTCCTTTTACTTCAGAGAATGAAACCTGCTTCCACACTATACCTATGGAACAGCTCTACCTGCTGCTACAGGATGTATTTGGATACAAGCGTTTACTTGGAAAGGGAAGCAGGAACGGGTAAAAGGATAATATTTTCATTTTATGTTTGTGTGGCTCTTAGCATAACTACAATAACATGACACAAGTGATGCTGCATGTGGGTACCAAGTGTTTCTTTTAGCCCAAGCTGTAAATTCAGGACAATCTTTCTCTGTCCATCTTCCCCAAAAGTTATGAGCAGCTGCTTTTATTTGACATAAACCTATCCATCACCACAGTGACTGAGCATCTGCATGCTCTACCCTGAATTCATTGTCCTAGGTTTTCAAACACAGCTGACAGAGTAGAACAGTTAATAAATACCTAGAAATGCCTGTTCTGTTAAAACTGAGCACTCTTCTAATTTTCAAATCCTGTTTGAAATGCTTCTCTTGGTCCAAAGAAGCAGAGAAAGCTTGACTAATTCACCTGGAGGTTCTGGCTGCCTCTGAATCTAGCCTAGCAGCACACTGCTTTGCACCAGCAGAAATCCATTGAGCTACAATGGGAATTAAATCTTTTCCTTTCATGCTATACTTGTACAGGATTATCAGCAAGTGGGTTTTTTCCTTAATTGTTATTACCTCATTCTTCCCAGCTAAATGCACGTTTCTGTAATTCCACCGATTGTGCCTCAAACTACTGAAGCATTTGATGGCTGTGGAAGAATAAAGCGTGCTTTCCAGCACACTCTCCTGAGCTGCTGCAGGTGCTGCTTACAATACTGCCAGAGTTCACTGCCTCTCCCCAGGCTTTAAGGTCCCACTATAATCCTTCCTTCCACCTGCTTCAAGCCCAGGTTAAGAAACACCCCAAAACCTACTTGATATGCAGCTTTAGCAGTATACTGCTCACAGCCATGTAAGTGCAAAAAAATCTGCTTCTCTTAAAAACTGAAACTTCCTCATGCTGCTAGTATCTGTCCCAGCTCTACAGCCCCTCCAGGAGTAGTCTGAAGGCAATTATAGGGAGAGATAAGAATATTAAATCCTTAGGTGTGAAAAAAGACTCGGCGTGAAGTCTTACCCTAAGCATACAAGCCACAATATAATGAGTACTGTCTTTACACCTCTAACTCCCTATTGAAATCATCAGGAAGTTAGAATCTCAAATCTTCTGTTAGTTCTGCATCAGAATCCTTTCCTATTACCTACAAAACCATTTTTCCCCAGGCACAGGATCTACTGTGTAAAGGAAGGGATGCTCATTGGTAAGGTGAAACCCTCTCTTTCAAGAACCTCAGAACTAGAAGGCAGCAAGACCTTGGCGTCAATTTACCATGATGACCATGTCATCTTTCTTCCTTAGAGCATGTTTAAAGGAATGTTATTTAGACTAAAGCTTATCATGAAAACATGTAAGAGAGAAATGGTGGAAAAAAGACCACTGTGTGGTAACACACACACATTCGCACACATATATATGCATGTAGAGACAGAAAAACATTGCATATAACCAAACACTATAGTTTCTGAAAGCTGTTTACTTTCTCTAGTAATAAAAGGGCAAAGGGACACATGATGAAATTAAAGGCCAGAAAACACAAATCTGGCAAGAAAACAGGATTAAGAAATAGCATATAATTAATCTGTGCAATGTGCCATCATATGAAATTTAAGGCAAACTTTTATATGCTAGTGCCATAAGTTTGGCTTAAGCTAAGTACCATAGAAACAGCACAGGATCTATGGCACAGGATTACACTGCTGTATGGGAGTATACTTTAAAAATCCCTTACTGAACTGTATCTTCCACTGAAGCATAAGATGCTGGCCAGTATCAAAGGCAGGAGACTGGACTCGAGGGATCCTTAGCACAGATCCATTCTAGCCATGCATATTCCAGACTTGCTCTGAGCTGCCCAGGTGCTAGTGGAGGCTCATCAGGGCAGTGACTGCTCTGTGTTCACATAGCAAAAACCAACACGCCTCTGCACAGAGCTGAGATCCCCATATGCTGTTATAGTACAGATAGAACAGTGCCCCATTAATACCCTATAATTCAGAAAACTGACCTTCACCTTGTTTTGAAGGACTGAAGAAGGAGAAAGATAGACTAATAGTTCCTCATGTTTCATTACATCTGTCTCCTTTAAACTCAGTATCCTAATTTTGATGTGACATTTTCATAATACAGTTTGGAAAAATGTGAGTCATCACCAATAAACTCTCTTGACTTGCGCTCATTTGAGTAGCCAAAACTGGCTGACCCAACAGGAGATACTCTGCTAGCCCAAAGGAATTTGCAGCTTGAAGATGGAAAGGCTTAGATTGGACCTTACTTTTCTTCTAGTATCTCCTGGATGTGTCTGCTGGGAGTTCTCTTTGTCAGGGCAGTATTTTTTTCCTGAAGTCTGCAAGCAAGAAAGTCATAAACTAGCCAGCACAAAAAGGATCAAATAATTTTTTAACATCTACCAGCAGAAACGCTGTCCCTTGACTTCTCAGTTCAAACTTGAGAGCTGTCCAGAGAGTGCTCAATTATGCTTAGGCCATATTTTTATTAGAATCACAGCGAGCTGTTTGCCAGAGGCTCGAACTCTGAAAAATGACCCCCTCAAAACTTGCAAGTCCATTGTCATTGGCTCATTAGGTCTCCAATGAAAGGTGGGTCATAAATCGTATCACCGAGCCCTGACAAAATTTCAAGCTGCTTTGATCACAATTCACTGTGACCATGAAACAGCTTCTGAAGAAGATTAAATACAGCAGAAGTAAGCCTTTGTAACTGCTCGCACAACCACACAACCCCCAAATCAGTTCTCTCCAGCATCTACCTTCTACAACACTTACTATGCATCTTCCCAGTAAGTCAAGGCAGTGATGTTACCTCTCATTTTGCTATGGATGTTCAAAACTGGTATCAAGTGACTTGCCTAAGATAACACAGAAGTCTGCAAATGCAGTGACCTGAAATGAGTCAAGTGTCTCAACCTAAAAGGCTCTCTGTCCCTCTCATCCTCACTTGGAAAAGGGTTCCTCCCCCGTTTGCTGCAGGCACTAAAGAGCAGAGATGGGGTTGGAGAAACTGAGCCTCAGAAATTACAATTAAAAGCTACTCCTGCTAAATTGCAGAAATAAGGAAATGCTCGTCGACTGATGCACCTTAATCCCTTGAGCTTTTTAAACAAAGCATTGTTTTATCTTCAGCAGTTCACCTACAGCTGCTCAGCTCTGACTTGTTAACCTATTGTAATAATCATCATATCTCCTCCACAGAGTTGGGGAGCTCTAGTCACTGACAAGTACAGAGCATGGCATTTCTCCAACATGTTTCAAGAAAATGGTCCCTGCCCAAAAAGGGTACAGTCTAAAAGGACAACAAATGGTTATTAATGTGGAGCAGTGAGAGGCACTGTGAGGGACTGAGACAGTATCTATCCACACCACAAGGAACTGCACTGAAGAACAGCATTCCTTGTGTTCTACCTGTTGTGAGGAGGGCACTGTTGCCTTCCCTTGTATGAAGGTAAGACATGTAAGCTACCCTGGTGACGTTCATGTTACTTTACCAAACTCCTGGAACTCTGAGGCTTTGCTCACCAGAACACATTTCAGCCATAAGACTAGGTTCCCAATGGGACATATGGCCAGAGTCACAAAATTTGGATCAAAATAAAAAATTCAAACCTTTTGGAAGAGTGGGTTCTGATCTACAAGTCTGGGTGCAGACATGAGCATATCTAAAAGGACCATTAGGGAACAAATGTGTGGGTTTGGTCTTGTTGCAGTTTAAGAACTATGGAAGGTCAAGCAACAAGAGCTGGACATGAAATTCAAGAGTGTTCAGGTAGCTGTGATGCTCAGGGACCTTTCAGAATGGCTTCTCTCTTACCAGCTCCTGCCTTATCTACCTTCTTCTTTCCACAGTGACACATGGGAAATGCGAGAAAATGAATGCCCCAGAGGCTGCCATCAGCTTTCAACAAGGAACAGCCTCTTTATTGTCTGCAGGAGGCAGGTCTGAAAGGCAAGGAACCAAGACAACAAGTCACGGAGCCAGAGAAGCCTGCAGCCCTTTGGGCAGACTGCAACAGGCAGGTCAGGAGAGAGGGCTCTTCCCAGCACATCTGTCTCCATCTCTGCCTAAGCGAGGAGAAGCTTAATTATCTCATGCTGGAAAATAAAGGAGAAAAAAAGAGCCTGTCAATATCAGCCTGCTCAGACAGGAGCCCAGAAATCAAAGGGACAACTTTTGCCATCATCTCATGAAGGAGATCTGCAGAGACCTTTGCTTTGCAGCCCAGCCCAGTGGCTGGAGCGGCTTCAGTGCTTGCATCTAAAGACCTCTGAAATGTGAACAGGTTCCAGCACATCAGCTGCACCACAGTAATTCCCAAGGCGCATGTCTCCACCCATCAGGGTAGCCCAGCCCTTCAATATCACTGATAAGCTCCCTCTGCTAGCGTTATGTTCAAGGAGGGAGGCATAAGTGTGCACACATGAATGGTCAATACAAAGCTGCTAGTTCACAGCTATTAATTTTGCACCTTCACATTAAGACCAGGCACACACTTTATACTATAAGTAAACCCATAGACTTGTGCTAAAAGCCATCAACTTCAGGAAGGGGAGGTTGAATGAATAGGTCTGTTCCAATATAGTAGAGATATGAGGAGTCTGAATTTTTAATCAGACCCAGGCAGCCATGGCCAAAGAGGGTTTGTAATAGGCTGGAGTTGGGAAGCTAAATGCCAAGGTGGCCTTAGGCACTAGAAGTTAGATCCAATTCTGCATTTCAGCACTAGGGAGCCCAAAGAAACTATCTTCCCATCTATGACAATATTTAGTGAGCAGTATGTGTGCTGGTTCTTTCCAGACAGGATTCAGCTCCAGGTGGGCAAAGCTGCACCCACAAAGGATGAATCTGACACCACGTGCAGGCACACGTTTCACTGCAAAGTGAACCCTGAGGTGCCGATCACTGCGCTGATTCAGACAGACACTTCACTGCCTGACGACACATAAGCTTTCCTACTTGTGAACTGAGAAGCAGAGACACGCAGAAGTCAGCTAGGTAAACCTCATGCTGCATGCCCTTCTGAATAAGAGATCTGTGCCTGGCCTTCTCTCCCATTTAATGAGTGGATCATTGTATCTGGTGTCAGTGATATGTGGACTGTGCTGCTTCTTGGCCTGTGTCCTTCCAGGGAGAATAAGCAAACTGTTTCTCCATTAGACTTCACAACTCAAATGTTAGTTTTAACAACACATCTACTAACTTGGGTCCAAAATACTCAGTATCTTGCTACCCAGGGAGCAAGACATACGCAGTTTTGCAAGGCTGGCTGCACTAGGAGCCATGGAGACTTAAAAGTGTCTGCAGTGGGCAGTGTAAGACAAGTTTCTTGCTTCTCCATTCAATCTGTCTAAAACTGAATGCTGGTTGATGCTGCCTAAGGAGTAATCAAAACCAACTGCCAGTGCACCATTCTACTGCGACAAAATATTGCTGTCCCAAACAGCAGTAATTAGCCCACAGCCTCTCTGCAAACCAGGGCCTTTGCTCACCTCCCTGATAACCCCCTATACCTTCTTCCAGCTGCACCAGGTGCACAGGGAATACTGAAAACAACAACAAAAAAGCACAGCTTTCATCCTGTTGCTAGTTTTGGGACTGGATTTAAACAGATATTGTAGATCAGGGAAGTATCTCCTGATCTAGCAAGAGCTCACCTGTGCACGTCCTCTTGTTTTCATGCAGTGTGTAGCCAACCCGACAGCTGCAATAGTAGCCCCCCACGTAGTTGTGACAGTGATGATTGCAGAGGGGTTCACCATCAAACAGCTGTTTGCACTCATCAATATCTAATGGGTGAAGCACAGAATTAGGCAACCAACAGCCTTCAACAACGCTTTGTCTTGGTCTGAGCCACTCTGTGTTTTGTGAGGTTGGCTTGTTTGCCTTTGGTTGCTGTACCCTTTTGCATCTTCCTCCGTACAATGAGACCACATTCTCTCACCTCACACCAGCAGCCACAGTCTACGAGAGCAGAGGGAAGCACCAACCCCACCATAGCTGTGTGTCTCTCATCTACAAGAGGGGCTGGTCTCTTACCTTCAGCAGCATAAAAGGCCTCAAAGCCTGTGAATGCTTTCTCATTGGAGTAGTCAGACCGAAACACTACCATGAGGTTGTTGTCAACGGAGACGTATGTCTTGTTGCCTGGAGCTTCCTCAGTGTCTGTACTATCCTTTCCACACAGCGTAGCCAAGGTCTTCCCACCAGAGCTCAGCTGCAAAATGGGCAGACAAATCTACCAGATGAGCACAGAGCTTTCCTCTTCCCAACCTGCTGCCATGGCTTGGAAAGCGTGTTTAATGGTGTGAGGAAGGAGGCTTGGATGCTCTCAAAAGGTGCTTCTGGAGGTCAGTCCAGATCCAGGGACAGATAAGAGATTTCCCCTATTCCCTGTGACTTAAGACCATAAATTCGTCTCTCATTTCCCTTTCAGAGGCCCACATAAAGCTGTGATGCCAGCCTGGGCTATCAGCACCATGCTTTGTTTAAAATGTTCTTGTTAACTTGGCACTCTCAGTGACAATCAGATCTTGGTAAAGCCAGAGACAACTGGGGTAAAAAAGTTTCATACACTAACAAATTCAAATGTATAGCAAAAGGTCTCTTTAAACTAGTGACTCACTTGCTCTATGATTCACTTATTACAGTTCCAGCTCTTCATTTATCTTGTGGTTTTAATACAAGATAAATGTTCCAATACAGGGGGTTCATGCTGTATATGGTAGTGACACAACTGTGTACTACAGACCTACCAGAAATGAGTACTCTGTCCTGCCCAAAGGAAATCACACAAAAAACAACATGGATTTGAGGAATGGGAGCAACTTGCCATATAAAACCACGGAAATGAGATCTTCCTAAATGGGAACAAGGCTGTCTGATTCAGTTCAAATCAGATCCAAAAGTTCTGCTGATGCATTGGTTTTGCATACTCCCTGTGTATACAGCTCCCTCTTTAATGTGTATCAGGCCCATGGAAACAACAGAATGAGTGCAGAAGCGGCATGGCCTCAAACCAGCGACAGGGCTGCCTAGACTAGAGCACGTGCTAGCACGTGCTAATACAACCCTTCAGGGACACCACCGATCACCCAAATGCTTCCCAAAGACAGTATCTTTGTTTCTTTTCCTGAGGTCGTTTCTCACACTAGCTATCAGACACACCATCGCAAGTGTTGCAACTGCATGTTTAGACAAGCTGACAGTATCTTGTTTAGACTATCGCTTACTCTTTTACAGTCTCCCATTATACTGCGAAAAGCACTACTTGTTAATTTAAAACACACACTGTAACTTCAGCAAAACGAAGCTCAAATGTTGTTTCGGGCAAAATTTCAAACCTTCTGCTTCACGAGAGGGGAACATCAGAATTTTCTGAGCACAAACAAATGAAGTTTCAGATGTTCCAACATGACAACCAGTTCTATTTCCTGGTCCCGTGGGCCTCAATAAACACATCATTTAGAAATCAGCTGAGCCTGAACTTTACTAGCTGACTAGAAGCAAGCGCTTACAACAGTTATGTTGGTCCTGCATGTGTCCAGGATCACATACACACAGTTTTTAACAACTTAGCCTGCTACATGTCACCCCGCCTTACACATACCTTCACATAATCGTATTCACACAGGTAGGACAGCTCCAGGTTGAAATGTGTGAAGTAGATGCAGACAGAATATCCCTTGGGGACAGTAATATTCCAGATCCTCTCCTTGTGATTTGGGTAGACATTTGGGAAGTTGGGGGACGTGATCCTCCCATACATTTTCTGCAGCACAATACTGCTGCTTACTCCACTGTAAAGCACAGCTAGCAAGACAAACAGCCTGTGTCAAAGGAACAGAGATTAACGGAGAAAAAGTGAGCATCAACTCAGATCATACCCCAAAACCACACATCCAAGTTGCCAGTCTTGGTACCAAATCACAGGTATCTCAGCGCTAGCTGAAATCTTCATGCCCAACACCCTTCTCACTTGACAATGGAAGAAAACAGGAGTTATCAGTGGAGTCATACTGTAGTAACAGCTAAACAAGATGAGAATCGCACTTGTGGCTTCTAAGGTCTGCACAAAGCCAAGGGGCCAGAGGAGCCGGGGAGGTCCCTGCAACCACACTCACCTCATCGTGTTGCTCTCCTGCCTGAGCCTGCTCTGCTCTGAGCCCTGGGGAAGGAACCTCTTCTGATGTATTTGCATTTGGGGGCGGATATATTTATTGTATGTGCTCTGCTGTGTTTGTCTGGATGTTGAACTCTGATGTTTATCTCCCTTCCACCCCCTTCAGCCTGCTGAGTTCCGGGAACAGCAATTACTAAAAACCAGGCTTGTGTTCAGTGCGTGAGGCCTCAGTCGATGACAGGGAGAGGCAGAGAGAGATGGAGCGGATGGATTAGGAATGCTGCAGGCTCTTGGAAAGAGCCGTAGTATCGCAGCTCTGCAGGGAAGGCAGGCAGTGGGAGGAGGTACAGAGTGGGTCCAGACAGCATCTGCATGGGGGAGTGAGGGGAGCT